CGTTACATCCGGTGCAACTTACTTGACACGTAACATCAAGAACAATTAACTGGACACGTTCAATCGCGAACAACTAACTGAACGCGAAAAAATCCGGAATAACTACGGGATCAGTTGTTTCGGAACAACTAACTTGACACGTAACTTCCAGAAAAAACATGACACGTTTCCTCCGGAACAATTAACATGACACTTTTCATCCGGACCAACTAACTGGAAACGTTACTGCCGGGACAACTAACAGGTAACAAACACCTGGAACAAGTTCCAGGACACGTTACATCCAGTAAACACTAACAAGACACGTCACATCCGAAACAACTATTAGGACATGTGAAATCCGGGAAAACTTACTTGACACACTAGATCCGAAACATCAAACAGAATATTCACTACATTTTAAACAACTTAAACGGAACAACTGACTTGACAAGTGGAATCCGGAACAACTGATTGATAACTAAAGCTACAACTGGAATGGTTATATAGAAATTTAAATTTAAGCAAAAACATTAATGAATCAAAAAGGACATTGTTTATGCTTCATATTTGTTATGGTGTTATACATTCACATGCTGCAAAAACAAAGTCAACTGAAGCAATGAAATGAGATTTCTGGGTTCTTGTATAGTAGGAAATGCTTCTATTGAAATAAGTTCAAAAGAAATAACTCCAAAGTGCTTTCCCAGCGGTTGCTGCTGCAGTTATAGCCCAGCCCATGACAGTCTGCTCTTCGTTTTCGTATTTTTTCCTTTCATTGTCTCGCATGTTTCTAATTTCTTCCTGGTGTCGTTTTTCTTCTTTCTCTAATTCGTGTTTCTTTCTTAACTCGAACTTGGCGTTTTCGATTTCCATTTCTCTGCTTTTTGCTTCACCTTCTTTTTTTTCGGATTCTTGTTTTCGACGTATTTCTGCATCTTTCTCCGAATTTTCCGAATTCTTTGTTTGAAGTTCCAACTCCTTTGCTTGTAGTGCTGTTCTCGCTTCAATTTCTTTTCTCTGTCTTTCCATTTCTTTCTGTTTGACCTCCATTTCTTCCTGAATCTGCGCAATCTTCCTCTCTCCTTTGAGTCTGATTTCCTTGGCTCTTCGCTGAAATTCTAGCTCTGATTTTTCGAGCTTATCATTTGAGAAGTAAGCTTTGCCAGTCTCATTAATGATTGCTTGGACCATCCCTACCAGTTCGAGAACGTCAAATTCAGTTTTCTGAGCGCTAGAAAAGTTAGCAAATGCTAAGTATTTGTGACCACATCTCTGTAAAATGTATTTCAGTTCGTCTGGAACCTCATTGACATACTCTTGGATAGTCTCACCGGTTCTTTCCAAGTCATCCCGTCGTGTAAATAGTATTATTAGGTACCTGAAGAATTCCTCACCAAATATATGGCTAAAGTGGTTGACTGTGTTCCTCTCTTCTGGTGTAAAACGCCCTATTTGAACAACAAGAATAAAGGCATGTGGTCCGGGAGTGAGAATTCCTATGCATTTAAGGATTTCTTTTGCGATAACATCGTTGGATAATTTCGTGTCGAACAGTCCCGGTGTGTCAACTACTACCAACTTCTTGCCAAAACGCTCTGCTGTGTGGAATTGACATTTCTTTGTTACTGAAGAGCCAGATGATTTAGACGTAAAGGCTTCCTTACCAAGAATGTTGTTTCCAGTGGCACTTTTTCCAGACCCTGTACGTCCTATCAAAGCTATTCGGTACTCGTACCCTGCTCCGTAAGAAGTATCTTGATCTACATTAAAAAATTATATGGAACATAGTAGTGTTGAAATTAAGAACAGTAGAGAATACGTAAAACATATATAACTAATTCCATTCAAAGTGTAATAAATAATTGATTGTGAGACATGTAAGTATTTGGGATAACTTTGCAAATAATGTAATTGGTCCATAAAACTATACATTCATCAGGTGGTCATTTAACGTTTCCGATAGATTATCTAAATAGTGCGGCAAATAGCCATAAATTGAAATTAAAAGGTTCTGTAAATATCATTTATCTATTTGCCGTCTATATTTACCGAACAATATAGTGTTATTGAGAACGACTCGACCACGGTCATTTGTAATCAAATAGAGAATAATTGCGTTAGTGTCAAGTTTTGAATTGCAAGTTCATTAAACCATACAAAAATAATACATACCAAGCTCAGCCATTTTTGCCATGATTTTTCTGAAAAAATAAATAAAAAACACGCTCATAATATATCATAAATAATTTAAATGAACATGATAAATTTGCACTTACACCTCTATTTCTTTTCTTAGATTTCGAATAACGTTGTATATATCCAACAAAGCCAATGAATTATGTGATAGTTGCGAGCAAACATTACACATTACATTTGACATAGTATTGTGAGGTCTTAAAGGGAGAGAAAAAGGAAGTCCGCGTAACAATCAATTCTCCACGTTGCGACAAGATTAGTAAAATATATTACCTGTAACTGAGCTAGTCTCATTCAACCAGACGCTTGATCACTTGTAATATCAATAGTTTGGTCAAACATAGTGCTTTAAAATACCATCACCAGAGGGAAGTTTTTTTTTCGTTTCCGGACGTTATTTTAAAGCCATTAAACCATTTCAAAGAATACTGCAATTAATGAAAAAAAAAACCACTTCCTGAAGTACCCGTGTAATCACTATTATCAAGAACAATGTAAGAAATTGTTTCAACTCTCCATATAATTCCACTGAATTAATCATAACTGAGCACGAAACCAACAAGGCTTACTGAGATTGTAAAAAGCATGTAAAGCAAGTTGAGGTATTTGAAGTAAAACCAATTTTCGTTATGTAATACTTACCATAACTTTAGTATGCATATACAATACCTACACCCATATTTTTAGCTCAAAAACAAAATATTCAAATATCCCTATCTCCCAGAGCCACGGAGTGATCTTCTTTCCCCAAACCCCTTTTATGGAGCCTAAAGGCAGCCGGGATGAGGAGGAAAGGGGAGAAATACAGGGTGGGACTCCATAACGTTATGCTAAGTATTATGTCATGAAAATTGGTTTTACTTCAAAAACCTCAATTTTATTTCAGTCATAATTACCATAACTTTAGTATGCGAATTCGTCTTACCGTAGTGGAGGCTTCGAATCCAGGCCGACCAGGCCGACGGAACAAACTCGAGACATGCTCAAGGTAGGGAAAAGGTTCAAGGAACCCCCTAATAAAACCACGAAAGTGATTAAGAAATGGAAAACCTCCCCGTAAAACGAGCAGGTGTACCACCGTGGTGCCCGATAGCATACTATTTAAAATCCCTGAATTACTGTGGAGGAACAGCCACAAACTGTGCAACCACCACCGGTTCAAGGGAATACAATCCCTCAGAATGAGAAGCCAAGGACCGGAGATAAAATCCGTGAAGGTAGTCTGTCCGCGCCAGAAAGCCGCAGACTTGACCTCCAGTAAGGGGAACCCATTGAAGAGTGCCCATGGCGCAGCGAGGGCCCTGATCTCATGAGCCACACCAACGTACGAACCTGATCATCTGAGTGGTCGTAACCGTACTTGATGACCTGATAGATCCATCTAGACACTGACTGAGAGGAGATATTCTGCTGACCCTGCTTAATTGAGAGCCAAACGTCGGCAACTAATTGTTAAGTGAAGTGGCGAACAGGTCTATGTAATGCCTGTCCTACACCTGGCGAATTCCCTCGAAAATCGAAGGATCAAGTTGCCACTCTGTCAAAACCGGCTGGCGGCGTCTGGAAAGAGTATCCGCTAGAACATTCAACCTGACTGGAAGATGCTTGACACAAATTGCCACCTGCATTTCCTGACAAAGAAGAATGCGGATAGCGAGGACACGCAGGGTGTGAGACCTGGTTCCCCTGTCTCTCCAGATACGCGACAACTGTAGTGTTGTCCGTAGCCACACAAACCACCTTGAAATGCAGGATCTCCCGAAGAGACTGCAGAGCCAACAGAACAGCCCTCATCTCATCCGAGAACTGTTCTCCAGACCAATCCCCCGACCGGCAATGCCCGTCGATGTAAGCTCCCCACCCTGGCATTGATGCATTCGTGTACAGGGTCATAGTGGGAACCGGCTTGGACAAAGGAACCCCTCGCAGAACATTGTCCTAATGAGTCCACCAGCGTGCGAACTCCTTGGCCGACTGGTTCAGAGGAGGACAGGCCTCCCAATCCCTTGAAGAAGGGACCCAGTTGGCAAGGTGAAACATCTGGAGAGACACTCAAACCAAACCGACAAAACAAAGGTTTTGATATGGAGCAAGTTCCGGGCCGTCAGCAGGCAGTATGCGCCATAAAAGGAAGAGGAAAGGAGATCACTCCGTGGCTCTGTTGTCGATATATGGGTTACGTCACGGTAGGGAGGTCGGGATATTTGAATATTTTGTTTTTGAGCTACACAGGTGTGGGTATTGTATAGGCAAACTAAAGTTATGGTAATAATTACTGAAATGAAATGGCATTTACCTGTACCCCATACAAAACACTACATGTTCTCACTCAGGTAATCTGGCTTAACCTGTATCAATAGCTTTGTAAGCTTCATGAATTATTGTAAAATATCAAATGAAAATACATGATTTCATTCTTGAGATTTGAAGCATTTTCTTGCATTTTTCTCGATAAGGCTTAATAACGAAAACACGGATACTTCAGGAATGCATGTACAGGTAAAAACAATCATGAATTAAAATATTCAATGTAATTTTGCGCCACTCAAATCCTGACTTCAAAAGTGTAAAATGACTTGTCTTCCTTTGACCAATGAAATCCTTTACCAAATTTTCTGATAAGCCTCGTTATGGCTAAACAATAGCACTGGGTTTGACCAGACTCTCTGTTCTTGCGCAGACAAGAGTCTGGTTGAACGAGACTATAAACGAGGCGTAAGCCGAGGTTGGGATGTGGCAAAATCTTAGCCCGAGACTGAGAAAGCCAACTCTTGCTAGGTTACAGGTATTTTTTTTATATTTTTTTTTGCACCTTTAAGTTCGAAACAAAAGTATTCAATGTTAGCTAAAAAATATAAGCATCCTTTATGGGGCCTCAAATGGTAATGATCCCTTCACTACTTAATCAACATTTGAACGTTTCCGCGTAAAAATGTAGTCCGTCCCTACAAAGAAAACAACAACATCAAAACTATACATATAACGACAGAACAGATAATTTATTATGCAGATTTTCAATTGCAGGTAGTTAACGAGCGGATGAATGTCTACTAGCGTAAAAATTCCGCAAAATGTCACGTAAAGGTACAAGGCAGATCGGACGTGGTAGAAAAATCTAGCACGCGGTATGACATGGGATATCTCTGTCTGAGGTGCGAGAAAAACATGCTGCTGGTGCAAAAATTCATAAAACGATAACATGTTCCATATTTTCTTCTTCATCTGTCAGAAATATCAGTAATGAGAAATTTTTTGGGAGTTGATATTTTTA